CGGAATGATCGAAGATCAACTGCACGCCAGAACAATTTGTGCCTGTGTATTTGCCAGGTGCAATCCAAGAAGCTTTTGCCCAATCGGATCCAAGCTGCTGATGATGCATGCTGCTGCTGTGAGCAGCCACTCTTGCTGCTCTACTTTTGCTGCTGCCGCTCTAGCACTCAGCTTCTGCTAAAAAAAGTCATTATGCTGGTTGTGTTAGATCACAGGTGATTCCATTCCAGCTCATGTAACGAAGATCACACAAGATTTATTGTTCAATAACAGCCAACCAGTGAAATATTAATAAGTCCAAGGCAATAGATGTATGAAATTGTATTCGCTCATATTTTCAGATTTCTGCTAACTGCGACGTGGAAACCAGGGGTGAAGTCAACAGGTGAAAGACTGGTGAGTCTTTCAAGAACTGTGGAAGATATCATTCCCTTTATGTATCATTGCAGCAAAGTGGAACACGGCGACTGGCAAGCAGTTCATGTCGTATAGTATTGTTGGTTTTAACAAAGCAAGAATATAAACTGATGATGAATATAATCACAAGGGCAACGTACAACGTAGTAACAAAGCGGAATCTGTGACCTCAGTGACTAGGTCTAAATAATGAAGTAACCGTAACTTTATAGGGAGACCTTTTTTGTAGATTTAAGAAATACATTGATGCAAATCATGAAAATCGGACCTCTGGTTAACACTCTTCGAAGACAATTCAGTTGATAGTCCTTTCAGGGTGACATGAAAACAACACAGAGTGAATTTTGACAATCTCACAGAATTTTAAGGGTATCTTCACAAACTGCAAAGCTGCATTTCCCCTTTTGGGCTATCCCACTTCTGACACTAATAGGTTCCAATAAGGCCATTTAAAGGAATGAACCTGGGGTCCGACATGTGACATTTTCTGTCCCTGTTTCAGCAGAGTTATGTAATTTGACAATGGATATATCACCGCCATTGACCTAACTCTATTTGATAAACCTGGGGTCCGACATGTGACATTTGCTGTCCCTGTTTCAGCAGAGTTATGTAATTTGACAATGGATATATCACCGCCATTGACCTAACTCGATTTGATATGTTTGAGTAAGTTCTATCACTTATTCACTCTTGGAAATAAAAGAATGAGTTTTCCACTTAAGAAGATGCAGCGGGGACAGGAAAAAATGAACCCTAAATTTATAGAATGATGAAATAAAACTTCAGGGTAATTTTTTAACAAGTGCATCTTTCATTACTCAATATAATTAGTTACAAATTAAGTACATAAAAGGAGGTTTTCCCAGATATTCCTAGGGGCTGTTTACGAATGATCGATATCATTCATACAATAATCAGCCTTAAAACGTGCGTTCTGACTCTTTTTGTAATTATAATAAACCATCTGGCAGGAAACCAGTAATTTGCTCGAGCAGCGTGTCGATATAGGTACCTGACTGCAAACATAACCTAAATTCGCACTGCATATAGAGTAAACATCAGCCATGCGGAACTAGAACGGGCATCGACGCCAATCGACTGAACGGAATAAACACGTTTTTTTTACAGCAGAAGACCCACTTAAACATTCAATCTGCAAACTGGGAACGGTAACAATCATAACAGAGATGCTACCTGTACTGAGCGCAGTCTTTCGACGTATGTTTAACCCGTCTGAAGGAGTGGAAAAATCTCATTCTTCCAGTTGGAATTTGTGCTTCTAAATAGACGCATTTTCAGCCGTTTGGGCCAACCGAACTTCTCAACTCAGAGCTAAATATTTGACATAAAGCAGTGTGCAAAGCACGCCTGTCCCTTACACCAAGAGACAATGTTAGAATATCATGAGGTTAATGTCGCTAGGCAGATTGAACTCGGAATTCATGCAACTAGTGGGCGAATCGGTGTGACAAAAATTTCTGCAAAATAATCTTGCTTGAAAGTAAAACTGTTTGAAGTTCATATTGGTCAATAAAACCAAGAACGGGTAAAGGGTCCATGTATTTCCATTGGGAGTTGAATTTACCAGGCAGAATGCAATCAATTACAGGAACGAACAGTGAACACCTGTTTGTTGGAAATAAACCAAGGTCTGGCCAATTCAGAATTCTGCTTTTTTACTGACCTAACTTACTGTGGGATTATTTTATCTTTCATTCGATTGCTGTAAACTTATTCCCGAGAAATCTGCTTGCGGCACTCTGCATGTGAAGCCTGGACTACATTGTAGGAACATACTCTACAGAGATTCTTATTGGAGTAGCTGAAATCCTTTACGGATACTGAACACTCTCATCAGTGCATTTATAAACCATTGAATTTCTTCAAAAGTGTCTAACACTGGCGCGTTGATCTTTTTAAGTGGAACTGTGATATGAAGTCATAAAAACGTAAGCTCAACTGTGACTCTAGGATATATCCTCAGCTCAACTCATGAAGTATATTGGAGAAGCATTCTTTTAGGCACTTTTCGACAGGATATTTCGCTAACCTTATGGCTCAGCGACAGCGTTCTGTGAGCTGCCGTTACCGTATGCAAACCAAGGCTTAAATCTTGGCGGGCTTGAAGGGATGAAACATTATCAAAAAGCTTTGGTCTCGTACGGGTCGGGAACGGAATAAAACTAAGGAACTTCTGTCTGTGGCATTTTTGCTGTGAGCAATATAAATTGCAATCTATTATTCAATGCGCAAACTGCTAGATTTTGTCGACGTACAGGACCGACGGGTTATGTGGTATATCATTAAGCAGGCCTTTTTCAGTCTGTCAGCTTTACATGCTACCCCCAAGGGATGGCTGCGATTAAGTGAAATCGTTTGGTGGCCAAGCTTTCCGAGACGACCGGCGTGACCTGCGCCATTGCCTACACGCTACGCGGCTGTGCATTTTAAACGGCGGGAATCTGGGCCAAGTAACGGTACTCGCGCCCCACCAACAGAATTGAAAATCAGCTGCCTTAATGCGAAATCAGCATGGTCCGCGCTTGTGCTGGATAACCTCACGCGCGAAATGGAAATCCAGGTTTCCCTGTGCCGCGCTACAATCATAGAATCGAATGTGCAAGTTTTGACAGGCCCTCAAAATGAGACACCCCTCTCCCAAAGTAGCGACTACGTAAGTAAACACCGCCGGTCATGAGCGCCAGTTGTGCCCACCTTTATGTGCATTTTGGCTAAGGCCGCTTGTTGATCAGCTGGCGTGCTCAGGCTGGCTGTTCCTCAACCCGGAGCCCTCCTGGGTAATGGAAGGGCCTCTTGACTCTGTGAGTGCCGTTTTCCCGTCTGGATTCGCATTTTCTGGCTCATGTTAAGTCATTAAAACGTTGGCCAAAACACGTCTGGGGGAATTCTGGCAGAAGCTCTCGATCGAAATGGGTTTCTACCGTGTAAACAAGCAGGACAGCGGGATGTCCTGTCCCTCCAAGATAACAACTCGAGCCACTGCCAAATAAAATAGCACAACCAAAAATTGATAGAAGTGATAGAACAACCTCTGATAATTCAGGAAAACATTTAACATCTAGGCTGTAGGTCCATTCCGAAGGTGTTGGAATGGAGGAAAGTATTTGACGGCCTTGCAAGGAAAAAGACTGGCGCCTTTTCAAGAAGGAAAAACAGTGCAAGCATTCAGCAATGCGTCTAAGTTATAGGTCAATTAAACAGGGACCCGGGGATTAGGGGATTACCCCAAGCTGCGGGCAAACATAAGAACATTGTACAACATGCGAGGCCCCTACCACCACCAACGGCCATGATGGAAGGTCATGCTGACTGCAATCATTGATCCACATCAGAACTGCTCTGACCCCAACCCATTCACAAGGTCAGCCGGGCCTGCAAAGATTTACAAGGACAGCAAACAAGCGTGACGTGTCCCTGACCCCATCTGAGGAGGTCGTGTCCGGGCAGCTCGTCTGCTTCGGCTCTTTTCTTGTGGTCAGCAGACATTAGCCTAACCGAGCATAGTAAGGTGTCAAACCTCCAAGGTTTGGACATCACACCCGACGATATTGACACTGCATGAAGTCACGGGATGAGATTAGGTCAAATACAGAGGGGGACAAAAAGGCGATAGCTGATAGAAATTCCAACCATTTGGGAAATAATCGACTGTCAAATACCCATTGCTGGCCTCGATGTGAGGTGGCCTTTATGCTCCATTAAAATCGATTGCATAAATTTGCAAGCATGTGGGAATTTTTTTACGAGCATGCTGGCAGAAATCCATTTCTGCAGGCATGTAAACAAATGCAGTGCATTTTATTAGGCAGAACAATATGATTGGCAACATCGCCTTGTTAATGTTGACACATTGCAGCGAATCAAGCCCGACGACGGTGACTAAACACTGAAGATGAACTTTATAGCACATCCTTGGTTCTTTGATATCAAACTGCATAGTAAACACCAAACTCTGAAACCCTATGAAATTGAACTACTATACTTTACTTTTACGATCCCATCGATCACAGTTCCCAAAATCACATTCTCATTTCAACATTACCTAACTCGAGGCCAAAAACAAGCTATTTTCGCGTGATATGTTGGACGGATAAGTGGTGTTTCGGTAGTGCTATTAATAAAGTTTATCTTTTTTTCCTTTGGTCCAAAAAATGCTTGGGAGTAGTTCCCGCATTTTGTTGTTTTTAAAATGTTTACACAGAAATATCTATATATATATATGAACGAAATGTACCATCTGGGATGAAAAGCATACGGTATCTGAACCCCAAAGGCATAATCAATTCTTCAGAAGGCGAGCAGTAGTTTCAGACACTGTGTGCTACTCCCACGGAAAACTTTCTATTAAATTTAACTGGTGAGACCCAGTTTCTTATCGGGTCATCCAGTGCCGGAACTCTCCTAAACAGCCTGTTCCCACAGACAGCACCCTGCCCAAAATATACCGCATTAATGGCTTGCAGACGGATACACATACAACTACTGTTTGCTCTATTCAAAGAGCGTCTATTTCGAGATATGCATTTTTTTACAAAGTAGAGAACAAAAGGTGAACTTACCAAAGTGCAGATAACAACAAAGTCCCCGAGGGGCCTTCGGCCGTTCGTTGTCGCCATTATGATGTGACGCTGTCAACGAATCAAATTAAAACTGCTACCATTCAAGAGATCTATCGTCTGCTTTTTAGCAGCGAAATGTGAAGAATCGGGTAAATTTCCAGTTCAAGTGGCCTCGGGATTCAGAGCAGCTGGTCCCACATGGAACATCTGCACGGCCGGTTGGTCTCAACCAGTCCAGCCAATGGTCGGTTAATCTAGAGTTAAGATGCAAAAATAGGGAGAGTCCAGAGAGTACTCGCGGCCTTGGTAGCAGAAACCGATTAAAACCAGGTCGTGGATCCTTTTTTAACGCCCCCAGTCAGTTTGTGGTCGCGTGTTCTCAGATCAGGACAAGTATGTGGTTTGCCGTTGCCAATCAACAGTGTCCCGTTGGGTCGTGTATTCCAACAGGCGGTTGAGCAGCAAAGACTGGACACCCAACAGAGGCTTAGGCGTAGCTATCAGCTCAGCGGGCAGTCCACTTTATGGCGTTAAACCCTCTCTCAATCCCGACAGCCTCACTTTCCAAATTGTCTCCTTTTCTGTCCCCGACTAGGGAGGACCCTGTCGTTGGCTCGCGGTCCTGCCAGGCGAGACAATTAACTGCATCAAACGTTAACACTGAACTGCTGCTCGAGGAGGAAAAACTGTTGCTGACGACACGATGTTCACACAACACACACCAGTTGTGGCACACTCTCCCTGCGCAAACAATGGAATGGGAGTGAGTTAGGTGGCCAATCACATACAAAGTCGCGTCTACGGGGCGACATGGCCAGGGTTGTATTTACCTTCTGACAATATGCCGGTATCATACTTGCTAATGTATTAACAGTTTTGAGGGTAACTTTAAAGTGCATGACTTGTGTGAGGTTTCAGACGATTCTAGCCTAAATAATGGCATAAGAACTTAGCCAGGTGAAACCAACTAAACGTGGACCCCGGTCAACATATCATAACAATGGAACACATTGTAAAGAACGCTGGATGTAAAACAGAAATTCAAATAAGCGACAAAGGAAATCAGTAACTTTTAGGTAATGCACAGGCTCTGGCGGTTTGCAGAAGTACAAAAATACCCCCCACCAAAAAATAATAACAATAAAAATGATAATTAAAAGGCATTCGGAATTGAACGCAACATTTAAAGATAAGTAAACGATTGTCATGCATGTTTATAGAGGTACACGTCTTCAAACTCTGCAAGGGAAGCAAGACTAGTCCATACAAAAACATGACAAGGCAAGCGGATCTATCATTACAGAAACAAACTTTAAAATCCAACTGGCCTTCAAGATCGAAGTCCTCGTGTACTTTTATTATCCAGCTTGAGTTGAAAATTAAACTATTTTTGATGTTCAAATACAAACGTGTAGGCAATGGGTGATATTCAGCCACTTCATCTCAGAAAAACCGCACGGTCAATTGAATTTCTGCGAGGCCACCGTCCGCCCGTAATGATGTTGCCGGGTGACGGGCGTGTAGCACCGGGACAAAGCAGATCTCTCGGTACGTTGTTGGGGTCCTCTCTGCTGGAATTTTGCCTCGTTATCAAAAGGGTTTGGGAAGTACTTTGCAAAATTCCTGGTACCGTCAGCTATTGCTTGAAGACGCTCAAGCTGCAGAATTCAGACACATTTAAATCATTTTCGCCGATGCAGAATTCTAGCTCCAAATGACATTGTATGCAGTTCTACAGAATCCTTACAGTCCTCAGGGATTGTTTTTTATCAAGACCTTTCAAGTGCTCAGCAAAATCTGTTACGAAGCAATAACACGCAACGATGGTTGTAGGACCTAGATCCACCTGCATTCAATTCTAGCGACGTTCCAACCTGCTCATCGTGAGTTCTGTAAGCCATCTGGCCGATTTGATTGGACCAGAAAGAGAGGGAAACCCTTGACCTTCGGCTCAGTGGGGATAACTTTAGGCATGCGCTGAGTGTCGTTGCACTGTGCCTGGGATTTCTCTCCAAGGTCCCGGTAGTGTGTACTCCACAAACATCAGACACCTGGGGCGAATTCAGCAGGACCCAGTTTTCTGTCAGCCGGAGGGATATTGGTTCACGTGCACAGCATAGCAAGAACTAGCCGAAATCAAAATCACTGGGAGATTTCTCGTAAATTAGGCAGACTGGCCCTATTGGAATTTACTCGACAAATTCGTGTGCATAACAGATCTGGGAAATTTTGCTGGTACGGTTTACCTCAGTGTCTACAGTCACAAGAACCATTCACTAAAATAGTTTTCTGTGTCTCAACAAAGACGCGTGCGGAAACGTATCGTCGAGCACCGCGGATAGTTCAAGTCTGCGCAAACGGGAGGGCCTCGTTAACAAATTTCAGCTTTTCCATGGAATATGGAACACTATTAGGTTTTGAATGACTTGTGATCGAACAGTATTTATTTCATCAATTGGTTATCCTGTACTCAGTCACGGTCCATGTACAAACTAGCAGAGTTTTAGAGCGAAGCTGGCTAGCCGGATATGGGTGAAGGAAACATAGTGGTTGCACAATGGTCTAAGCCTACAGACATGCAGATGTATTTGCCAACTGATACACTTGCGACCAGCCGGCCTTGAATGAAGCTTGTCGACCTCAGCTGGCCATCATTCCCGGTATGTCAATCTAGAGCCTGTTTCTGGTTTCCTGTGAGTTTATTTCTAACGGATACTTCTACGATGTGATTATGTTGCTGCCCTGGGGATTTAAGGGGTTCTCCAGTTCACGTCCCAACTCAACAACGCTATAGTATAAGACCTAACGCATCGGTGAAGAAAAAACACAAGGAGGAAGTGTGCCACCTTTAACAGTATCTAGGGATTTACGGGTCGATCCTGAGAACTAAGTCTATATAAGGCCCCCAAAATATCACACACTCTACACCTGTTTGCTCGCACCATGGCCCATGGAGGGATGAGAAGGCGTTCTCATCTATATGCATGTACAAAGCCTACAGTGTGACTAACGCCAGACTACGGTGACCTAAGTATGCCATCACGGGGTGACCTGTTGTCTTGAACTCATTCATGTCAGGTGTTATGACACATAGGCCCACAGCCAGCAGAATGGATCGAATAGCACAAGTACGAAACTGTCAGGAAGAAGCGAGAACACGATACTCGCCTGGTATCCGTAAAAGTTCTTTTTACTCTCCGCCGGCAGACCGGGCCAATTCATGATCAATACAGGATACCTTCAACCTGTCAGCATGAGTATCAATGGGCATGGTCAACTCGATGATTACCTATCATTCGACACAATATATGTTCTCTGTCATTTTGCTAACAAAAGCGCATTTTCTTCAAGAATTCACGTTCTTCGAAAATATGAGGCGACAAGGCGTAACCCTTTAATCAAGAAACAGGGAACCTCCAGCCGGGAAAAATTGAGTCACACCCTGGGATGCGTCCTGGGAGGAAATTGATTCATTTCTTCCGGATAATTCTGTGCGCTGACGCCGCTGAATGCTTGGAGTCTTCTCAAAATAGAAGGAAGTTCCATCCATGAAGTTAAAAATACTTCAGAATAAAAAATGACAACCCTCTCTGGCAGCGCATTCCGGTATTCGTCATGCCAGGGTTTTAAGTGGTTCTTAATTAATGCACAAATTGTCCATCTAAATCAGGTACTTAAAGACATGCATTGGAGGTCTTCGTGTCAGTAATAATGATTAAGACCACGTGACACTACACAAAAACCCCGCCGGAGACCTGTTAAAAACATTAATTGATAAGAAATTTATTGAGACTCGAGCGGTCATGTCAATTTTAATGCAAACCATGTAAATCAAGTTGGCCTCCCCTTTCACCGCTCCAATTATTCGCTTATCATTTCTGAAATGAGAGTTTTCTTTTGAATCACTCTAATATGCATCCTTCCAGGTTGGACTGGCGTGAGTTGCTTTAAAGTTATTCAATCCGAATGACTACAAATTCGGCCAATCATAATTGCGCAGAACCATCGTCAAGTGCGTCATGCAAAGGGCGACTATATTATCTTCTTTGCCGTCGCTAATCACCAACAATAGTCTCAGATCGCCAAGTGTCAAGTGTGCCCTGTCGGGGCAATGGTGTTATCGATTTCCACAATTAAAGCGAGAACTACTGGAGGCGCTAGGCCTTAAACAAGGGGAAAATAAGGGCATATTTGTAGATTTCCAAATTCGAACGCGTTGTTAATTGCCCCCAAAGGCGTGTGAAAGAATGCATTTTTTTTTTTGCGGATCTCAGAAATTGTCGCTTCCAAGACTCTAAGTTTGGATAGTACACGCCTAATGGTGTCATAATTGAAACATTCTGGACTCTAATTAACTACACAAAGTGCCCTTAGAAAAGTTTTTTTTTTGGCTTTATTCTTAATGGAGATTCAATAAATGATGTCCACAAGTGGCTTATAAAGTGGTTTACCGATCTTTTTTTCTTTCCGGATAATTTTTGTGAAGACTCAACTGTTCTGTTTAAAGGTTTTTAATTTGAAAGTTACGAGACACAGATTGGAGCAGTATTGCAACTATGAAAGCACAACGCTTCACATAATCTCCCAGCTTACCTGTGTCACAAGACAGTTGAGAGAAACCGATAGGACTGGGGGGCTCAATCCCACACCAAATGGAACGGCAATTTTACCCGTTGGAAGTTCACATCCCATCCAGATCTGGACAAACAAGAAGAACAAAGTAAGGAGAAATCCTTACTAAGTACAGATAGCGCTTTAACTATCCTCGGTTTGGGCCCACTGCAGCTGCTCGATGACTGTGGCTCCATAGTCAATAATGACAGGATGCATACCCGGAGGGTTTGGCGCAAATGAGGGCTTATTTTCGGTGTTCCCTACAAAGCAGGCCAGCGCAATAAACACAGTGAATTGCCGCGATTTTCTGACGAGACAACCCCCTGAGCCCCAAGACTGTTTTAATTCGAGTTTCCGTGTGGCCGGGAGAGCAGCACTCGTACCTGAGTGCCTGCGTGGCACATTTCCAATATGAAGAACTCGAGAGGTTTGAGCTGGGCGTTTTCTTCAGTTCCCCCTTCCTTTGTCTCGACTCCCGGGAGAAAGTTTCTTGCGAGTGCCCTTTGACACACTTGGAACTTCTCACCGGCTGTTTTGTAATTGGTTGCTCTGTCGGTGAACCAGGAATAATGTTGGTGGCCGACAGTTTTGCTCTCACGGGATGATCGGTTTACGAGAACGCTGAACCGAGCAAGGGTCGAGTGCCTGCGGATTTTGTTAGCCATTTATTCTTCGAACAATGTTTGAATTAAAACAGACAGTACCTTGTAAGTGTACGGTGGGAAATGACCGCAAGATATAAGATTTGATGTAAAACAAGCTAAAAAAACACTTATAACACAGTTCAAGGTTTTTGGGCCTTGCGCCTGCAGAACACCTGAGGGCGCTATATATCTGAAATGGTGCGCAATGAATTATTGAACATGACCATGTCTGCTTCGCAAACACGATGGCAGTCATGATGTCAAAAGTCTAGCAGACAACTTTGAGACTATGCAATACATAAATTGAACATAGAATGACCATAGCAAGCCATGTCTCAAAAGTTATCGTTCCTGTTGTCTATACAGCAAGAGCATTCTAAAAATTGCAACATGGAAAATGAATGTTTACGTCCCATGGGTAGAGGCTTCAGTCAGTAAACTTTTGCTATGGTGTAGCATGCAAGGCACGTGGATCCCTGAGCTCATGGGAATACTGCACGGATATATGTTCAAATGCATGTTCAAATCGCCAGCAATTCTGTGAATGTTGCGCTCGAGCCTTGAGACCAGAGAACTTGGTCTTAACTGATGACGTGCGTTTCGACGACTTGGCAACACAAGCTTTTGTTAAACTAGAGGGCGCTGCTGTTGTGCGCAAGCGTGTGAGTATTATTGTAATATACCCCAAAACTGGCTACAGTGGATGAATACCCTGCTTGGTTTTGAAAGGTTGTGAAAAAGTGACGCGTTCTTTCAGTATGAAGGCATTACTGTGTTGGTGATACAAACAACAAACCTTTCCTTTTTTTTACAAGGAACTCCACAATAAATCAACAAAATCAAGATGTGTATGACGATACAATAAAATGCAAGAATTCTGCATGCGTATAACTGACATTTGAAAAACAACCCATGTGCTATGCTATCATCGAAGCAAGCTCACACTTCAAAAATAACGGTTTGTTGAAGCTAAGAAACGTGAGTAATTTCACGTCCATGAATGTTTCATCGATTTCAGTGGCGCCTTCCAAAGACTCAATCATAAAGTAACGACGACGGCCCTAAACCAACGGGGATAGCAGACCTTTTACAGCACGCCTTCTGAAATTGACGAAGACCTCTTCTGACAGCTCAAGTTCACCACCATAAATGAGTTTATTACATCCTTACTGGGTGGCTAATTACACGACTACTGTGTCAGGAAAGTACAGAGGTGGACTCACCACTTGCTAATAGACAAGTGAGCTGGCGAGTAATCTGTCAAACGGTGTACAAGAGCTGCGCATTCGATTCGCCTAGTATAACCGGGACGTTGAATTGGCGCTTGACTGAACGAAATCAATTGCGTAAAGGGGCAAAAATCTACAAGGTAGAAATCCATATCCAAGAGCGAAGTCCCTTGTCCTCTCTCCTGTGGATATAGGGGGCAGTAGAAGCAAGGACAACCAGGTCAGCAGGGTCGTTTTTATTCTCGTACGAGGAAAAGTGAGTTCATAACAATCAACATTGATTCATGGTTTCCTGTTTGCTGGAGACCATTCGAAGATCGTCTTGTGTTTTATTGTGGCTTTGGAGAATTTTGGCCATAATAATCATGTAGCGCTGTTCATTACTTTTCCCCGTATTGCTATGGATTAAAGTTCCAAAATGCCATCAAAACATTTTGACTTTTTTGCTTCGTTTAAGTTCTACTGGAAATCGCAACATGAGCTGCGTCGGGGGGAACGCACAGTAACTTTCATCGACAATCTCACAGGCTCCTAACGGGAAAAATGAAATCGACCACAAGCAATTCTAGAGAATAACTACGCTGCAAAAAATGTTGCGTTAAACTGGAGTGCTACGGCCCGTCTGCTGCTGTATCGTCCGCCGATAACACCAAGTGGTGCTGAGTGACGAACGAATAGTAAGAACATCATTATATTAAAAATATATATTAGTTTAAAAAAAAACACCCGACAACGAACGGAAGTCAGAAGTGAGCATGGGGGTCATTCAACCCCCCTACCCCAATCCCCAACCCCCAGCCTACGAGCCTGGGACTTAGTACAAACTGCACCATAATTATTACGAGCCACGCAAACTTATTGAAGAATGTGCAATGATACAGCATGGACTCAGAGCATGCCAGCTAGAACAAACTGCATCGGCACCTGACCATTTCAAACAGCGACAAATTACACGCGAAAACTGTGTACAAGTAAACGATTGCTGAGTCACACGATTTTGGCTTTTGGCTGTATTTTTTTGAAGACCACATAGCAAATGGCAAAGCACGCATAATTACCAACATACTCCGTTGGGACTAAGATGCCAACCCAATAAAATCAATAAAAATGGTGAGAGCATCCTTTCCAAATACGGAAACGGTAAGAAATGCACGTTGATTGTGTTTCCTCCTGACTAAATGTGCCATGAACGTGATAAAATCTATCGACGGCTGTTCTGCCTAACCCTGGAACAAAATAGCCCTGGAGAAATGTCGAAACCAGGCTGCGCCGATGGGCGACGCATTATTTTGTGGTCCTTTGGCGGTGATATCTCCCTTTCGATAAATGAACTATACATGTTGTGCTTCTGAAAGGTAGCGATTTCTCCACGCTCAAACTATCCTTGTCTTTGGCTTCCCGCGACAATTTAAAAGTCAGGATATGGTCAACAAAGACGTGGAAAATGTCAACCAATACGCCGCGGTGGAAGTTGTCACGACAGAAGTGGGGAAACTGAAGCGTGTGTAATTGCTGTGAAAAGTGGAATAACATGTTTGGTGGAACACGCCATAACTGACGAACACAATCCTTTCTAAAACTGCTTTGTTCAAATGGAAGAAAGGTTATTCAGAGCTTTTTTATTTCGCCTTCGGGGTAAGGGACGTGATTGTGTTTTTCTGATTGAAAAGAACTTAATTATTTTTTAGCGCTATACTGTAGGAACAACAAGCACAAAAAACATACATTGTAAATTCTCCAGGGTGGTTTAAAAAACAGCAGTGAGATTTGTACGGCCGTTTCTCGACTAGAAGACACACCGAACGATGAACCCTCTGTGCACTAATCATATGGAAAAACCTCAATGTTATAAACGAATTTGCTAACAGAAAGAACAATTTTAAGAATTTGTGTTACCCTACGGGTACAAATACCGCAAAAGCCCCAGCAAATTCAATATCCAAAATAATGCAAGCAAATTTAAATGTTGCTTCTTCCGTTAATGAAGGACTAAGGTTCAAGTTCTGATACGTTTGAGATAAATCTACCAAGACCCATAATCGAATTCCTTTTCTAATGCAGCAGAATTCACTCTAACCTTTCTCTTGGTTGATATGCACGCGTTTTACCAAGCACTTTATGTTGGAATTTTAAATGAGACATTAAGCTGTGGCCTTCATGTTAAACTACTCCCACAGAATCATATCGCTCCGCAAAGGCTAACTTGATTGAGGGTGGACATGAAAACCGCATCGTGCTGTACTCTCATTGTTGTCAATCATAGAACAAGGTCATACCTTTCATATAACGGCTTCCCCAAAGCTCTCGGGCTGCTTACCGTTTGGGCTTGGAAATAATTCTCGACCAATATGAAATCGTTCAGGGCAAACAAACTACCGTATGAGCCTTTTACTTAACGATTCTGTCCCAGTTCATGGTGCCTCGGAGACCCCACCCCCTCCCCCCAAAAACCTGAAGTTAGTTACCACAGCGTACACTGTATGCTAAGTCAATCTATTGCCATAGGCTTAATTTCCAAGACCATATTTACAGTCGACGTTTCAAAATGTTCATTTATCAAGGGGAGTTTCGAATTGCAAAAAAAAAATAGTCCTGAATCTACTTGACCTGCGGATCAATGGATTAAAAAAAAAGAGATCGTCTCTTTAATTTCGAAATGAAAGTACGCGAGACAAGAACTTTGGCGACGGCGGATAGTGTCAAACGACGCCTCCGTACTTACCGCAGACATTAGCAATATGGCCATAAATCGCATGTTGTGTGATGCTGGGACCATAATGGAGGGAAATAGATAAATGGATGAGATGACAGCGTTGTCTAAGAAGTAATACGTGCCTGGGCATAGTCCTAATCATTATCTAGGCGTCATTAGGTGCATGCGAACGGTGAAATGTTTCGCTGAGTGGTTGCTTCTTACTGCGCTGATGTTCGAACCAGGGACTGTCCTGTTTGCCATTAAAGGTCCCTAGACTGGCATCTTGTCAAGGAAGGATTTATCAGAATTATCAGATTTCCTTTTTCTTTTTTTTTTCTTTTTTGCATCAGTGAAATGATATACTTTGTAGCATACCAAGAATTAATATCACATAATGAGCAGAACTTTTCTAAGCGATGCCTTAACCCAACCGGGTCACTCTTAAAGAAATAAGAAGACCACTCTACTCGAACACAACAACAAACAGCCCTTTCTGCATATGACTATTTCCAGCGG